CGGGGAGGCGGAAGGACCACATCTTTTGCTTTCGTGCAAACCCCTATTTCAACATTTCCTCTCTGCTCCCCCCAGACAGAACTTCTACTGGGTCTGCTCTCGGGCTCCCATCAGCCATTGGGGTTTGTCTGGGAGATGCACCCCAATCCATTGGAAGAAACACAAAGGAGAAGAGACAAAAGCGCAGACTGCTGACACCCCGCCCTGGGTCCCTGGAGGGCCATGCCAGGCCTGAAGCCGAGGCGGCTACGTGCTCTCTGCGCACCCTGGCTCTGCCTTGGGAGCTCCCGTCACTCTCCCCCAGAAACAGGAGGGGAGAAGGCACGCCCTGCACAGAGATGGAGGCCCAAGAACTTGGTGCTGGGAAAATGAGCCTGCTTTCCTCCTCGGGGCATGTCTCATCACCCAGGACCTCTCTAAGCAGGCTGGACTTCTCACCACCGGGCAGTCGCATTTCTTACATGGAGGCTGGGCTGGAAGAGGTAGGCAGAGGAACCACCAGGCCGGCTGAGGCCTCTGCTTGGTAAGGGCACAGGGTCACTTGTGCCGTGTTCTACTGGTTGAAGTGGAAGCAGGCCCAGATTCAAAGAATGGAGACACAGGCTTCACCTCTTGATGGGGGAACACCAGGACACAGTGCAGGCGTGCAGCCATCACAGGGACAGTGCGACCGTGAAGTTCAGCAAGTGAGCGAAATCTCCTATCCAGGAGATAGACTCCTGGATGTCGTTCCAGTCACAGGCACTGAACTCCTAGGGACACTATACAAGTATTTGTTGAGTAGACCCACAAGGCACCAAATAGAAGGGTGGCCCTTCCAGTTCTAACACAGATATCTTTCCTCCCTCACACCAGGAAGACGAGTCAGGTTGACTACAAGGCTGTGACCTTCATTGGGCCTAGTATCTAGAACACGGCCTGGAATGCAGCAGGTACTCAATAAATGTTTGTTGAGTGAATAAATGATTGTATGGACTCAACTAATGATCTAATACGTCTCTTGTAAGTGGCATCTTGGCCCCCACTCTGACCTCCTAGAAGGTAGTCATGCCACATGAGCCCCCTCTAACCCTGAGAGGACAGGTTGAGGACATTCTCAGCCCCAAGCAACAAAACACACCCACCCACGATGAGAACAAATGACTTGCTGACCAGTTGACAGAGAATCTCATTGAACCTCATGCAATCCGATGAGCTGTCCCTATTTACAGATCAAAAAACAGTGGCTCAGAGACATGAAGACACATAAGCAGTGTTAGGGTGACTTAGAGCTTGGATGTCTGACCACAACACTCTCCCACCTGCCCTGGGGGTCAGAGTACATGTCAGCCCCCTTGGTTCCCAAGCTGCTATGTTTCATTCAGGCCCAGGTGAACGTATCTGCTCCAACTCAACTGCAAGGGTTTTCCACCATGCAGGCCACATCTCCTTCATGGCGGAAGAGAAAGGAAGCAGGGAAAAAAATTTCCCAGCACTGGCCTTGCCATCTTCTGGCTGGGCCACCACACACACTCCTTAGAAAAGTTTCACCTCTGATTTAGCATAACAAAACTTTTAATTTAGATGTTTTTATCTCTCTCTCTCCAAGTAAAAATAAGTTTAAAATAATGACTGTAATAAATGAAGGTAATTAATTGTAGTTTGTTCCTTTACTGTCTAGTCAGCTTAATTTTACCTTTTCAACTAATAATGAGAAAATAATTTTTGTGCTTGGAGGGTTAATGATATGTAACTGCGAGAACTGCTAATTGCATGTTGCAATCCATCCATCAACAACCCCATCTGTGCGACTTGATTATGTTTGCTAAATTATTGCTTTGAATTATCTTTTATAAAGCAACTTTTGTAATTAGCGGGGCTTTCGTCTTGCTCTTTTCTCTGTGCGCAAGGATATTCAAACTTTGGCCATTTCAAGCTGTCTCCATTAAGCCACCTTCTCTGGCTGTCTTTGTTTCCCTGAGCAGGGGGAATCAAGACTCCTTTAAGCAATCAAGGCGGAGAGGAGAAGCTTCCTTGATTCACAGCAGGGCAAATTCACTTCCTCTCCGCCCCCCTCCCACCAGCGCGAGCACACACACACACACACACACACACACACACACACACACACACACACACAAAAGAAAGAAAGAAAGAAAGAAAGAAAGAAAGAAAGAAAGAAAGAAAGAAAGAAAGAAAGAAAGAAAGAAAAAGACCACACATATATAGTATGAAAAGATAAAAGGATACCCAGATTCTGTATACATCCAGGGTTGGTGGAGTGAAATTAAGGAATGAACCTGAACATGCTATATTTCAACAAGAGGCCCGCACTGGGGAAGAAGGAATGACGGGTCCGATATTCAGCCTTGGCATTTTATGGGTTAGTTTATGTGACTCTGGAAGGTGTTTGCCTCAGGGAATATTCCTGGGAGGTGATTAATGCCCACTTGGGAATCCTCAGCTCCGAGCCCAGAGCCTAGTGGATTGCGAGAGGGAAGCGGTATAAAGGATGAGCCCTCATTAAAAAAATTAAAATGAAAATCAAATTTGGATTATAAACGGCCTGTGTGTCTGCAGTTTGTTCTGGATGAAGAAGATGCTTTTTATTAACACCTTTCTTTGCCGGCACTTCTCCCCTGAGGCGCTGGGAGGGACATAGCGGCTGCAATGGATTAGTCAATAGATCATGAGGAAAGCAGGGGTTTCGGGAATAAAACTCCAGACAAATGTAGTCTTTTTGGTACATTAAAGGGACGATGGAAAACCCTCTTAAGAAAATTAACGAAGTTCTTTGAAGATCCCCAGCTATTAAAACAGTGTCTATTCAACATGCCACATGGGTTTGGTAATGAGAATTCAGCTTTGTCTCTTTTGGTCCCATTAAGACTCTCCTCCCACACTTACTGAGCACCAATGTATGCCAGACACCCTCCACCCTGCCTAGTTCTCAGAATTCCAGGCAACTGCCTTCACCCTACTTAATTCTTAGAGTTCTTACAGTTAGCCTCAGTTACTAAATGAGGAGAGCTGCAGCTCAGAGAGGTTAAGGAACTTCCCCCAGGCCACACAGCTAGTGTAACAGGCAGAGCTGAGATTCAAGCCAGGCCCATCTGAGTCTGACTGGCATGTGCTTTCCACCACGCTGCACCTGGGTCTTTGGATCATTGCTGAAATCCAACGTTTAACTCTTTCTCCTACTGAAAAGATTACGTAAGTTATGCCTGCTTCCTATAGGCACAGAAAACCCCCTTCTTTTGGATAAAAAGCTTTGAACATCTAGTTAGGTAAGGGGCAGATTCCAGTCCAGGCATAGTAGAGGCCAAATAAACCTGTGTTGAAAGTGACTGATAACAGGACTAATAAAAAAACAAGACTTCTAATACGGAAGGCAATGTTCTAAGCACTCCATGGGTATTAACTGTGTTCTTCCTCAGTCATAACCCTACGAAATAGCTATAATTATGATCCAATTTTGCAGAGTATGAAACAGAGGAACAGAGAGGTCAAGTGACTTGCCTAAGGTCAAACAGCTAGTAACTGGCAGAGGCAGGATTCAAACCCAGGTTGACTCTGGAGTCTGTGTTCTTCACTCCCGAGCATCTCTCTATGAGCCAGGCATTGCACCGAACCCTTTCCCTGCATTATATTTCAGTTAATTCTAAAAACAACATGAAAAGATCTATAGTGTCTATTCCTCTTCAACCGACAGGGAAACTGAGGTTCTCAGTGGCTAAAAGAAGCTCCACCGCACCAAGTCAAGCAAGGGAACAGCTGAGAAAGCGATGCTCTACACGAGCGGCTCAATGCCTGTCTTCGGGCTGGGCAGAGGGATCAGCTGCCCGAGAGGGCTTGTGTGCTGAGCGCCCCTCACGGGACCATGAGCTGGCAGATGGGGACCTCTTTTTTTTTTAAATACAAAGCCTTGACAACACATTCCCAACATTATTGGTCTTCTTTCTGTTTTCTCCCTTCTTTCAGCTTAGGCAACCTCACAACCAAATGAATCAACACTGGATGGCCCTATAAATAAATAAGCACATCAGTCAACTTAGTAATAAAATGAAAGGATGAAAAATATGGAAATCAGCGACATTTGTGTAAATCCAGTTATTGTTTACTTTAATATTGCCTTATGCGCTTACGCGGTTCCAAAGAGATTTCAAGTAACTTGGCAGACGACAGACTTAAAATGCATCTCTACTGCTGAGCACTGAGAAGGGCCAATCCTTCTAGGGTCCTGCCTGAATCCAGGGGAAGGCTGAAAAGAGCCCCCTAAAGACAGAATATCTGAGAAATGGCCTCCCCTTCCATTCCCCTGACTCAGTGTAATTCCATTCTTTTCCTAGCCTGCCTCCTGCGCCAGCCAGACAAGCGGACACTCTCAGAATCCTGGTCACAAAGTCAAGCAAAGGGGAGAAATGGGGGAGGTTCGGCTCCATTCCAGGGCTCCAGGAAGGCAAGAGAAAAAACTGGCTGAAGACAGCTCAGCTGCTGCTAAAGGAACCAGGGCCTATGGGTTGGCAGGAGAGGATGTGAACAGTGCTGATTTTGTACACTGAGAGGGTAGGTGGTAGAGAGGATTTCAGGGCAGGCTGGTGACTGTCTGGATTGATCTGGAAGGCTGCCTTAGAGAATCAAAGCAGAGCAGATGCCAGGGGAGAGCAAAGGTTACCGAGTACAAACCTCTGATTTTAAGAACGGGAAACTAAGCCTGGAAGGTAAGGTGGTTTGTTCGAGGTCACAGATATTAGATGCAGCAGAGCATAAGGCTGGGCAAAGTCTAGGGAGCAGGGATTTCTTGGGATCAGACGCTGGAATCCCATCAAACAGAACAGAGAACCCATTCTTATCACAACACCACTGGCTGATCTGGGGGCCAAGGGACAGAGTTTGCAATGAGGGTAGGGAAGTTTCTCCCAAGCTTCCAGAGGCTGCTGGCATTCTCTGGCAACTCCAGATGGGATAGGAGAGGGAACTGGGGAATATTTTTGTGACATGCCACGGGCCTTGGGTCTTACCTCAGCTTGGAAGCTTTTTAATACAGGAGCCACCATCTCTCTGATTTCCTGAAAAAGAGATCAGCGAAGAGTTCACCATGGTGCCACTTGGGACACCCCCATGGCCCCTGCTTGCCGCTCATTGTTGTCCCCCAAATCAGCACTTCCTAAGTGTGTCCTGTGGGACCTGCACTCCATGGGGTTTCATAAGGGTTCCTCACATATACACCTACAGACAGACACAAACACACACAAGGGTGCCAAGCCAGATCAGACCAGGACACATCAAGCACATCAAGTTTCTTCCCTGTAGGACTTTTTGGCGCCTTTAATATGATGCACACTGAGCATTTCTGGAAGAGGGAGAGAGGAAGCAGCGTTTCCCAAATGGATTTGATCATGGAATGCTCTTTCGTGCAGAGGACCCTGTGGGACTGGTAGTTCATCATGGGACATTCTTTGGAGTGGAGATGCTCCACACCCAGAGCCATGTCATCAAAGTCCCTTCATGAAAACTTTCTGCCCTTTAGGCGTTGCTCGGGGGCCATCTCCTCAGGTTGCCATCTCTGCTTCCTCCAGCAAGACTGCATTTTGCATTTTAGCAACATCACTCTGTAATGCTTCTCTTTCCTCACCAGAATGGCAGTTTCTGGGGCCTTGGTTGGGTTACCCTCTAGGCCACCCAGCTCAAAGGAAGGGCTCTGTAAATGTTTGATGAACTATACAGCACTGGGCTCTCTTCAGATGGAAGCCTCCTATTTTTGGACCCTAATTTCCTGCCTTTCACAAGTGACCTTGATGTTCCCAGCCCGAACGGCTCCCCTGGTGGACTCCCATGAGGTCCCTCCAGCATGCAAAAGGGAGGCCTTTTAGAACTGAGTGTCCTGAGATCCCAACCCTACCTGCTCCAGTTTCCTCTGAGACCCACTGGTGACTCCTTCAAACTCTTTCCAGCTACAGCCCACAGAAACCCTATGGGAGGAGGAGCTGAGGGAGCTTGGCAGAGTGAGGAGAGAGGGGGTAGCAGAGAGAAACAGGAAAAGAAGAGATGGGCTGAAGAATATATAAGTTCAGGTGAAGAATAATACCCTTAATTATGAAATAGGGTTGTGTTGCTTCTGTCCCTGGAAACAATCCTTCTTTTGGGTCCTGAGTACCCCTCCTCACTGATTTGTGTCCCCAGTGCTTCCCAGATCTGCTGATACCCTGGGGATCTCCAGGAGGGACATATAGAGTGATGTGATCATAAGGAACGCTGGGTGCACAAGCAGAGCAGTGGAAAAAGAAACTTATGAAAACCTAGGTTGCAGATTGCAAACTCAAATGCCCACAGAGGCTGGAGGAAGCGGACATGAGGGAGACAGACTAGGAGGTCCCATGGCAACTCTCAGGAGAACACAGCACATTTTTAACGGGAGTGGCAGCTGCTCAGCTCTTCCTGATGACTGCCACATGGGCATGGAACCTCTGTGTGGCCAGATCTACCCAATAATCGCAAAAGATCCTGGAAAACCAGGTTTTTGGGTGAAATCTGAGATGCTAGATGTTGGCAACTTCCTGTAAAATTCGACAGATTTTACAGACCAAATAAAACACATTGGCAGGAAACCTTTGGCCCAATTCAGGAAATGTTAGTGCCGGAAGGGGCTGAGAAACCATCTCTCTGGCCCCCTGAATTTACAGAAAGGGACACAGAGGTCTCAAGGGGAGCTGGCTTGCCCAAGGTCCGAAAGAGAATGGATAGCACAGGTGGAATTTGAATGCAGATCAACAGACTCTCCAAACAGGCTCTCTTCACAACCCCACACTCAAGTGAACTTAGGGGATTCAAATCTGAGGGCTATAGGGGGCGGCTGGTGGGACTTTGGGCCAATGCCAACCATTTCTAGAAGCCCATTTCCCTGCCTGCTTAACCCCTGGGGGAAACTGAGCAAAGGCACCAGGAGGAGGTAAGCTGGGCACAAGCCAGATGATGTTCTTAAATAAAGCCTTGGCATGACTCTTCCCATCAGGAGAGACTAGTTCCAAATATGAGAATTTTCAGAGGCGTGACTATAATAGGAATGGAAACTTATTCCTCCTAATTACATAATTGCATAATTATGCAGTATTAAAATTATGTAAGCTGAACTCAGAGGCTTAAAACCTGGCCTGGATTTCCCTCATCACCTGGGGGTTCCCACGTGGCCTGGGGAAGGAGGACAAGGTGGTGGGCTGTGAAGAGCAGTGGCCGTTTCATCTCTGCCTCTCAGAGACTGGAGTGTCAGAGGCAAAGCTTCTGTACTCTCATTCTGGGCAGAAAAATCAGTTTAAAGATCAAGCTGTTCTCTATTCTAGGAGGGAAGGAAAGGATACTCAGAATCTCCTTATGCCTTCTTAGCTCCCAGAGCCCAACCAAGGACTTGACTTGGCCTTTCTGATTCCTTACTCCTTTCAAAGCATACCCTCCCCTCAGCTCTCAAACCTGGTTCCTCTCAGACTTGCTCCACGGACGAGTCCTAACTAGACCCTACTTCCCACTCTTGCCTTGGAGAATCAAAGATATTTATGACTTGTGTGAGGAGGATTTCACAGCTAAGAGAATGACCCCTCTGTGCTCATGTGCCTGATTCCTGGGCAGGCCTGCCTCTTCTCCAGCTTCCCATGGTCCCCTCCTCTATCAGCAAGATGGCGACAGGACCCCGAGGTGATTCTAAACAGAGTGGGATCAACATGTTCAAGTCTGATACCTCTGGAATGGGAGACCCTGCCTGGTCCTCCTCCAAAATCCAAGCCACCTCAGCAGGTTAGGACAGAGAAAGAGAGAGAGAGAGAGAGAGAGAGATCAACTGTTAACCCTCTGCTGACCACAGAGAAGCACAGCGTTAGGGGTGGGCGGGGCATCTGTTTCCTATAATGGTTCTGATGGGTTACATCCCTGCCAACATTATATGGAGTCAGAAGGTTTTCTTTTTCCTATCTGTGTTTATTCTCATCATTTTTGGTGAGGAGAGGAGAGGGGAGGTAATTAGGTTTATTTGTTCATTTAATGGAGGTACTGAGGATTGAACCCAGGACCTCATGCGTGCTAGGCATGTGCTCTACCACCGAGCTATACCCTCGCCTGTATTCTCATCACCTTTTTTTTTTTTTTAAATTTGAGAAGCAACAGGGGGCCTGATAGAGGAGGAAAAGGAATTCACACATTTACGCCTGAGAAGAAAGAAACTTGTCCATTCTGGTCTCTTCCCCTGGGGGGCTCTTACATTGCGGGGGCTGGTCATTATCTGGACCACCCTCATGGCAGCTGGGAAAGACAAAGCTGGTGGCTGGAGCTGCAAAGGAGGAGGTGAAGGGGAAGAATGAGGCACGTTTATGGGGCGGGGGGGGGGGCAGACAGTTTCAGAGATGGAGATCAAGAGAAGGACCGGAGAGGGTGATCGAGTCTACAGCCGTCATCTCCCAGATGCCAATGGGAAAGCAAAATAAGATCAAGAACTCTAGACAAATTGTCTTTGCCGTCAAGGCCAAGTATTTGACTTAGACATTAATATGAGGGGAAAATGGATGTTTTATAGAGCCCTCAAACACAATGACTTCCATGGAAAAGCATCCTGCCCTTACTCTAGACAGCACCGCAGAGCACCACCATACCAAGAAACACTGAAAGGACGGGGGCTGTAATTTTTCTTTGTGGCTAATTAGCTTCTTTTCTTGTTAGTCACTTATGTCTACAGTTTTCAAAATATAGTTTGAACAGAGAAAAATCTGCATTCCTACTGAGTTAATTCTATAACAGCAACTATACTGTACCTCAGGTACATTTTTCTTAAATTCCCGGCGGAGTTCAATTAAATGTTTATGAGAATGTTCACTCTCCTCCTGCCGTGCAGACAGCTCAGAAGCGACGGAATTAAGCTCCTTCTGGAACAATAGAAAAAAGAGAGAAAGAGAAAAGAAAAAGATTTTTTTTCCTTCTTCTCCTTTTTAATCATCGTACAAAACAGCATTCTGAACAAGTTTTCTTAACTTACAAAAAAGCTGAGAAAAGACAAGATATTGACTCCTGGCACAAATGAATAATTTACGAAACTGAGGATGCAACCAAAAAAAAAAATCTAGGACAGCTTTTTTTGCTTGTCGGAAGTCAGGCCAGATCAATAATCTCCCATAAAGTTGGGTGGAGTTTTTTTTTTTTCATTTCTCCCCTACCCCTCTGCCCCACCTCTTAAATTTCCAAAGGAGTGATGGCATAAGCTTGTCAGTAACTGTAGAAAACATCTCCAAACCGTGTCAAAATAGTAAAGTACGGCATATTGTATGGGCATATTATAGTGTAAGAAAGTGCTGTCGGCAGCTTTCATATATCAGAGGTGGGAACTGTTCCAACTATGACTTACTTACACTTAAGGGTTCATAAATACGCCTTTTAAGATATAGATGGCTTTTTAATTTCAGTAGATTTTGGAAAAATGAAGGTGCCAATAAGAAGCAAGCTGACCTTTTGTGTATCCTGCAGTAAATCATTTAAGGCTCACTTCAAGTATAAGAAATATTTCACTGAAGACTCCTGAATTCAGAAGAAGAGGATTGGAAGGAGCCTTGCCTGCTTATGTGCAGTGACGGCTTTAGACCGGGTTTTTACAGGATGTACCATGGAGGGAAAAAAAGAGAGTGAGGAATGGAAGCTGGGCATGCTCCAGCTCACACATGACAGACAATGTCTGCTGGTCGTATACGTATATTTGATCACCCCTCTCGCACTTTCTTCACTTTAACGGTGGCAGTTTCACAAGGGGAGTACAATTCACCATGAGTTGTCATGGATTTCATTTGCATAATTCAAGAAATGTTCTGTTTATGTGGTCTGCTGCTTTCTTGCACCATCTCGAGATGGGCTTTTTTTCTGGACCATAACTCGAGGAGCATTTCTGTATATATCACCCGATTATATTTGCAGCAATCAAGCCCCATAATTTCCTAAATCCGGTGATGCAATAAATTTCTGCAATCAGATTTATTAAAAACACACACGCAGATGCGAGAGTGTATTTCTAGGGTGAACTCTTTAATCTAACATATGTATGATGAGGCCCGGCACCGTGTTGAAAGACCCCATTTGTCATAGCTAATACGCATTCATCTCGCACACACAATGAAACACTTTTACCATTAGATAATGAAATAAAAGTACTATTAACCCACTGCAAATCCTTTTTCCTCTAAGAGACGAAATGCATGGTAATTGTCTTATATCATGTCTGAGAGTCGGTAAATCTGCGCACCACAGCACCATAAGCCTCGTGCCCATCGGAGGCTGGAGAGTCTACCCCAAACCCGGGATAAGTGTCTTTGCCTATGGAGCCTCTGGGAGAAGTCATGCAGGGAATTTCTATTTCTGGAGAAATGTCTAACCTCTTTGGAGAATCATGAGACTAGAAGGGAGGTCAAGGCAAAAAAGTAGCCGTTTAAAATAGAGGGGCAAGGGACTCGGAATTGTGGCGCTCTCCAGGGTCCTGAAATCAGCTCTGTGCCACAGTACACCAACTCCAAGGTGGAGGGGCTTCTAGTCCAAATGCCCCATGGAATTTTAGTCAGGTGAGAGAGGAGAGGAGAGGAGAGGAGAGAGGGAAACAGAAACAATTTCTGAGGGACAGTCTGCCAAGGTGACAGGGAAAATAAGGACTTTAGGTTTATCATCATTTAAAAATAATGTAGTTTCCAATAAAGAAACCACAATTGACCATAACCAAAATATCAAGTGACTAGGGAGAGATCTGTATTCGCAATAAGACTGATCAAAAGTAGACAAAAAGCAACCAGGTGACGCAGCCAGGTGGACAGAACCTCACTTAGCAGGAGAGAAGGAACTGGAGTGTCATGGCAGAGTGCTCAGTTTTTCTTAGTTTTTCTCATCTATCTTAAAGACAAAGATGTGATTTTTACATTGCTACAGGACAAACAGAACTAGGACCTGGGCTAACATCACTCAGTTCAGGATGATCACGTATCTGACACAATGTTCTTATCTCTGGGATACTGCTCCTCCTTGCTTCCCAGTAACCAATATACCTGGTGGGGGCTGGACTTTGACTCCTCATTTAAAACCTCAAATATCAAAGGTTTCAAAAGGAAATCTCAGAGCAGGATAAGTTCAACTGTCTGATGTGCTGCCACGCGACTGCACCAGCTCCCTCCACCCGAACCCCCCAGGTTGCTGGCAAGTGGAAATCTCCCTGCTGCGTTCACACTGCAGACAGAGCACAGGTGAGACCAGATGGGAGCATTATCAGCAGGCCTCCAGCCCCAGAGCGACACAAACCCAGTTGTCTTTCCTGCTCACCCCTAGAAGAGCAGACAATGTGACTGATGTCCACGTTCTCCTCAACACTGCCTACATCTATTCTCATCCTTCAACCCTGAATTCTTGCCACATTTCTACAGTAAGTACATCAACAACAACAACAACAGTAATAGTAAACAAGCCATCATTTATTGGGTGCTTGCTTACATGTACCAGGCACCATGCTAAGCTCCCTACATACATCACCTCATGTGACAAACACATTAATATGCCTGTAAGGGGATTCAAGCAGGGACTAAGAAACAAATTACAGTCAATTCTAATAATTCAGGTGTGGGGTATCTCCTTGGCGGATTGTGAAGGCCAAACTGAAAAGCCCTGCTCTGCACAGGGCTTCTGCTCCACTTCCCCACTGATGGCGGGGTGTTTAGGGACTTTGTTTCAAGTGATATATATGTGTAAAGTGTCAAGCACGGTACTAAGTGTTCAAGAATTGTCAGCTGATATTAATTTAGACAAACTGAGAGCTCAGAAAACAGCTCACCAGATCAGTGATTCTGAACTCTGGATTTCACAAGTCAGTAAAAATCTCCCTCTTCCCACACCTGCAAAAAAAGGATGACAGAATATTGCCAACTTTTACTCTATCAAGCAAAGACATTAAAAATCACTCCTTCCCAACCTAAAAGATACATTATTTGAACGTTAACAAAGCAAGGCAGGCAAAATGACGGGATTGACTGCGAAAATCTGTTAAAATAAACACATTTAAAATTTTTAAAAGCTCACAGCACTGTATTTATTTTGAAGGAATGCAAAAACTCTTATAAACATAAACCAGCACCGGTCTGAAGTTGAGTTTTAGAAACAAGTGTCCAAACCCACCACGTACATACGCAGCTAGCAGAGCCTCTTCTTTGATGATCAAGCAGAACCTGGGATCCCCTCCCACCCGGCCTCCAGCCCCCAGCCCTAGGGGAGCCATGATTAACACAGCCCCAGACTTTGGGCCAGGCCCAGGCGGGGAGGAGACTCATCTGATTAACCGGCCATCAGCAGCAGACAGACAGCCCGGAGCCCGGCGCAGACCATTCAAATAATGATCATCATAAACAGCCCATTTGCAACTAAAAAGAAATAATTTTAATGAGCTTGAAGCAGATGATAGATGCAGCTGAGGCTTGGGCCAGTGTGCAGAGAGAAAGGAAGCTGGGACCGAGCCGTACCCAGGACCAGCAGTGGCAGGAAGAGGCTGGGGCATGGAGGAAGGGATCTTCTGATGGGACCTACAGCCCTGCTGCTCCCCCAGAGGAAGTGCCCACTGCCTGGGGAGTACCCCTAGCTCCGAAACGGTCTGCCACCAGCTTGCTGGACAACCTTGGAACTCAGACCTCCAAGGCACTCAGGGTCTTGGAATATATGAACCAGAAGGAATGTCTGAGGTTGTCCAATTCATCACCGTCCGAACTTCAACCACACATACCCCTCTGCATGCATTTTGCTATACTGATATTCCACACAAATTACTATTCACTTAATTACTTAATATTTACCTTCAAACTGACTCCTATTTCTTTCTTTCTGATTGAGATATGCATAGCTTTACATTCAATTTTAAGTTCAAATTTTTACACCCTTATAACCACTGTCCAGCTAGAGATACAGGATATTCATGTACCCAGCACCTCAGAAGGCTCCCTTGTGCCCTCTCGTAGTTAGTACTGCCTAAAGGTAACCATCATTCTAACCCTAGCATCACAGATAAATTTTACCTGTTTCTGACCTTCACGTAATGACTCTCTCTTTTTTTCTTAACCTAAATAAGTACTTTTGAAAAGGACATTCTTTTTATCATTAGAGGAGCCTATGCCATAAATAGATGGTAGTCTTTAAAATAAAAGTACAATGAAAACAAAGCACTGCTGCCTGTCTTTGTTATAAAAGGAGGTTGGCAAGTGCTGGGAGGTGTTAAAGGTAGTATAGAGCCAAACAGAGACCTTCTTGTTCAAATGAGAAAGAATGGATGACCGCTGAGAAGGGAGAGCTGTGCTTCCTGACTTAAGTCAGTCCCTTCTAATGCCAGGTCTACTTACATTCATCTCACGTCCTACCAGTGAGTGTAAGTCCCACACTTTCGTTAACACTAATTGAATCTGATCCTCCCATTCCGAAAATGAGGAAACTAAGGCAAAGACAGCTTAGGCTGTCTGCCCAAGCCACAGTGCTGGTTAAGAGGTTGGATCCTCAGAGGGGAGGGTAGCTCCTGGGTGGAGAAGCAAAACTATTGGTTATGGGGAGAGAAAGTTGAACATTCTCAGTTCAACTGTTTCCCCACCAGGAAGGACTGGGAATCTTACAGAACTACCTAGTTTTGAAAGAAATTTAACACTGATTGTGACCTGAAGTGTCAACGATGCACAAAGCTTTGAGCTAGATGCTATGTTCTTATAGAGGAAATACACGTGAGACACAATCTGAGTTGTGTATGTGCATGTCAGTTCCCCTGGCACGTGCTCACACTCTTCTCAGCTCCAAAGATACCCCCGCACTCAGACACATTCCCCTAATACCAACTCTGAGAAGAGACCTTCTAAAGACGATGCAGTGATTGTTGGGGACCAGGGGTTAAGGAACTGAGGACTTCAGATGTTCCCATGCTTTGAAGGGGTTTCACGAAGGGAAATAAACTCTTCCTCAACATGTCCCTCCCCTGCTCAAAACCCACCTCTGGCTCTCCACTCCTCTAGGACAATCACCACACTCCCCATCTAGGTGTCACTGGGTCCCTGCCAGTCCTTCCCATCTCTCTATTTCTGTTTCCTTTTCAACCATACTGAATTCCTTGCAGGAATCCAAAGGCACCATGGTCTCACAGCTCCACGGCTCAACAGCCTTCCTTTCTTCAGTGCAGATGATCTCATTCTGTCTTTTGGCTTAAACGCCCCTCTTCCAGGAAGGCTTCCTGGACCCTCCCTCCAAGTCTGGGCTTCTCCTTTGTGCCCGTTACCCCTTTCTGATATTTGCCATCAGACTTTATTTTTTAAAGCCCTAGAACCTTTTCCTCAGGTGGAATCTTACACAGAAGTTCCCTACAGAAAACAACAGCTCATGGATAACATTTCTGTATGATTATTATATTTATGCTAGTATTTGTGGAATATACCAAGCACTTTATGCATATTACCTCCTGTAAGGATGCATGGAATAAGTGGCAGTTGAGATTCTAGGCCAGGTCCGGAAAACAAGGATGACCAGTGGTTATGACTCAATATAGTCACCAGCGAACCAAAACATAAACCTGAGACTCAGCTTTCTCTTTACTGCAAGGAGATGCAACCAGAGATGTTGGACAT